GAGCAGGGGATTGAACCTGCAACCAAGGTATGTGCCCTTGACCAGAAATCGAAACCGTGACTCTTCAATCTGTGGGCTGACATTCTAACCACTGAGCCAAACCGGCCAGGGCAAAGATTTTTTTTTTTTTGATTTTTTTTTAGAGACAGGCAGGAAGAGGGAGAGAGAGGAACATCAATGAGAGAGCAAAGCATCGATTGGCTTCCTCCAGCCTCCAGCCACAACCCCAGGAATCGAACCAGCAACCTTTCAGTGCACAGGATGACGCCCAACCAACTGAGCCACACTGGCCAGGGCTCATTTATTCAAAATTTTTGTTGTGGGTCCTATTTCAGGAACCTTAACAGAATCCCGAACTTGGACCAAGCATTTCACATTTGCATGGTCAAGGGAGCGTGGGTGTTGGTCACAGTGCAACACCACCGGCACCATCAGAAAATGTACACCAAGCAGAATGAGCCAGAGGCACTAATTATTGTAGACACAAGTTACATATGCTTTACATGCACAGAGTTTCATTTCAGCCTTCATGCTAGAATCCCTTTGTTTCTGGAATAACTGCTGTTCCCTCCCTCTGCCTATTTCCTTTCCTGCCACTTTGGTGCCCTGGCTGGTTGTCCCACTTGCTGTGCTCTCCAGCTACTTTCTTCTTCAGAACTTTAGCCTCTACTTTTCTGCATTTGACTCAGTGTTTGAACATTACTATCTCGAATTAGGAAGTTGCTATTTCAAATCTTCATCCCAACTCAATTCAGATGATGAGATTTTGAGGTATTTGCTGATCTGTTATGTCAGCTAGAGATGGGTAAAACCAAGCCCCTGCTCTCAAACAACTCTTAGTTTAACCTGAAATACGAATATATAAAAGAAAGCATATAATCAAGTTGATGGTATAATTATAAAAACAAAGAGGTCCCCCAGCAGAGGGGATGGTTAATTCTTCAGAAGGGGGCCAGGAGAGGTTTCTGGGAAGAGGCAGCACTAAGCTGGGCTTTCATGAATGTATAAGCATTTAGTTACTAGAGTTGGGGAAAGGATATCACAGAAGGAAAGGAACTGAAAGTGTGATGTACAGAGGCGTGAAGAACAGTGTGTTATAGCAGGTATGGGGAACTAAGCAGCGGGGCTTTCTCTCCAGGCCAAGTTTGCTGAGGACATATGTTGGCTGCCTCCTAAGTCCTGCACTGGGTCCATCTTTTAGGTTTGGCTGTCTCTACTTTATTGCTTCATTCCTCTACACACTGCCCTGTCTTCCCTCCCTCCCCCCTCCCCCACCGCATGTAACCCTCCTCTCTTCCTTCCCTTCCTTTTATGGAAATTTTTTTGTGTGTGTTTAGGCCCTGGGTTTAATTTGGTTGGATTGGATTGTAGTAATAACGTTTCTGTACATTTGCCCAGAGGCCTTCAGCTAATGGGTGTATTCTTTACAGGCCAATAAACATGAATAAATCCAGTGTGCTGTCTTGTATCTCTGCCTCCCTTCTCTTCCTCTGCACTTTCCCATCTTCCATTGCTGGAGACCTTTCTGGAATACTAAAATTTTCAAACGTGAGGTAGCCTTCATTAAGTCACTTCTGCACCTGCCAGCCATGTCCACGGAGGACTTTCCTCTTGCTGGAAAATGTGTGCTCTACCCGTAAGAGATCCAGCCTGTGTCTAACGGGAGCTCCGTCGCCCTGTTAGAGGGACCGCTCACCCAGTGTCAGCGAGAACCTCAGAAAACTATAGGCTCCCATCTATGGGCGACGGTTGCTTATTTTTGACCATTGCTGCTGATCTCGACTTCATGTGATTCGGTGATAAACTGATAATGTAATAGGACAGAGGCTGACTGCATCACCTCCGGCAAAGTAAATCTGAGGTTCTCCAAACCTGGGGATGCGAGCCTGGCCTCTAAAACAAATGGGGAGCTGCCATAGCTGCCATGAAGGAAAAAAATTAACCAAGCTACTTTAAAACAAACTGCATTCCTGCGTGTCGATTAAACCCAAGAACAGACGGTGGTTTCTGTTCTCCCACCAGCTCTTGCGGCCTTGCTTCCTCTCTTTTCCTTTGCCCCCAGCCTGCCTTTTCCCTCTGCCTTGCTCTAAACATTCTGTTCCATTTTCACTGCCCAAACTCAGACTCCCTCCCAGGATCTCAGGAGAGCGCCCCCTCCTACTGCCTGGGGAGGCTTCCCTGCGCTCCAGTCTCTAGCTAGGCCAGCGCGTTGAGGTCATTGCTCTCTCTGCCAAATGATTGGCCTTAGTTCAGTTTCTCCATCTGTCTGAGCTTTATGGAAAACATGATTGTTGCTCTAGGCTCTTTATTATATGTCCTGTTTTAGGTCTGCTTTGCATCTGCTTTTTTTGTTGCTCCCCC